TGTTTGCCTTTTGAGACAGGGTCTCACCATGCAGTTCAGACTGGCCTTGAGCCCATTTTGTAGCCCAGGCTGGCCTTGAACTCACAACAGTCCTCTTGCCTCTGCCTCCTGAGTGCTGAGATTACAGGTGTGCACCATCATGCCCAAAATTCTTTTTTTTTTTTTTTTTAATGTATTTAGTACAGGGTTTCACTACACAGATCAGACTTGTAGTGATCCTCCTGTTTTCAGCCTCCCCAGTGCTGAGATTACAGGCGAGCACCACCATGCCCAGTCTCAATTGTCGGCTCAGTGCACCCCAGGGACGGGGCTGACATGGCAGGCCGGGGATCAAACCCTCGGCTCCTGCATCTGCCTAAGCAGGCACTTTAATCCACTGAGCTAGCTACCTGGCCGGTCCTTTTATTTTCTTGTAGTGTATTCTCATGTCAGTGTTCTTTTCACTGTCTCCTATTATTTCCCCTCTCTTCCTCCTGTCACCCATATCTTTGCATGCCCATTATTTATGCTATCCTCACTCCATCCCTTTCTTTCTCTTTCCTTTTTCTCCTCTACCTTCATCTATCCTCTTCTCCTGACTACTGCTCTTATGAATACCTCAGCAATGTCTGAGGAAAACTCTGTAGACAAGTAGGCAGTTAAACAAGGCTGGACATGTCACTTGCTTTGATCATAGTGGATGTTTGTGAATCAGGGATAACCGATGTCATTTGTCTCTCTGTTCTGGCCTCCTCTGTCTTGATTTTTAGCTTAGAATAAAGCTAATTACATATGCTATGACTGATAGTTATTAATAAACAGGCTTTTGGTAGAAATAATGTGAAAGTTAAATATTCTGTCACATAGAAGTGACACTTTTAGGCATTTTTCTTTTCAGAGAAAAAAGACAAACATTTTTAAAGAAATTCTTATGAATAAGCACAGAATAAATTTTGCGATGAGTGACAGAGAAATAGAAAGCTAAGCTAAATCATGAACAAAGGATTAGAATCCAGAATGTGAATATATGTGAGTATATATCTGAATATATATCTGAGGCCTAGCTTAGTAATAAAGTACTTGTCTATCCTGTATGAGGACTTTTCAATCCTCAGCACTACATTCATACATACATAAAAGATAGTCAACATCATTAATAAGTAGGGAAAAGCAAATTAAAATAATAAGATATTATTTCACAATAATTGGATTGCAAAGTTTGAAAGACAAGTTGGTGAGAGTGCAGACAAATGAACACTTTTTGACACTGCTATGTATAGCAGTATAGTGGAGCAGAGTATAAAATTGGAAAGCAGTTAGGTCATATCTAATAGCGTTGAAGATGTGTGCATATTATGACCCAGTAATTCTCCTTGTAGATGTACTCTAGAGAGCCTTATACTTGAACACAAGAAAATGCACAAAGATATTTATAATGGCCTTGCTAGAAACTGTGAAAAACTGAAAACAACCTAAAATGCCCACCATTAGGGGAATGGGCAAATTGTTGTGTGCCAGTACAGTAGGCTAGTCAGTAGCCACTACTATAATTGATCTTGTCAACATGCTTCTATATTAATAATACTAAAAATAAAATGACAATCCAATATATACAATATGATACTACTTATTGTTTTGTTTTTGAGACAGAGCTATAGAGTACAGTCTGACCTTAAATTCATGGGGATCCTATTGCTTCAGCCTCCTGAATGCTGGGATTACAGATGTACACCACCACACCCAGCTGTGGTACTGTTTAGGAAGAAAACTTTGAAACAAATAATATTACAGGCTGTTTATGAGGCACGCACTTACATAGTAAAAGTCTAAAAATTAGCATGTGAAGGATACACATGCCAATTTCGCTGCAGTGGTTGATTCGAGAAAGGGGATAAAATAGAGTTGGGTATTATCTGAAACAAATGTGACAGGTACTGCATTAACATTTCTTTAATCTGGGTAGAAGACACATAGATGTCTTAAACATATACTTCCCAGCATATGAAATTTCTTTATCCGAAATCAAAACATAGGACCCAAAGGCAAGTTCAGCACCTAAGAGTCTTGAACCCTCTTTCTCTCCTCTAAGTACTAACCAGACCTAACCCTGCTTAGTTTCAAAGACCAGACAGGATCTGTTATGTTCAACATGGTACAGCTACATGATTTTGCAGCCTCTCTCTTTCTCTCCCTCTGCCCTTTCTCTCTCTCTCTCCTTCCTCTTCTCTCTCAGTTTTATTGCTGGTACTTGAACCCAGGGCCTTTGATATACTAGACAGGCACTCAACTACTGAGCTGCATCTTTTTTTAAAAAATTATTTATTTATTTATTTATTTATTTATTTGATACAGGGTCTCACTACACTGTTCAGACTCAGTGATCCTCCTGTCCTCCTGTATCAGCCTCTCTAGCACTGGGATTACAGACATGCACCACCACGCCTGGTTTCAGGCTGGCATGGCTTGTGGTACCAGGGATCAAACTCAGGACCTTGTGATTGCTAGGCAGGTGCTTACAATGCCAAGCTATCTTCCCAGCCCCGTGAGCTGCATCTTTATCCCTTCCTTTTGTTTTAAGACAAGATCTGCCTGAATTACCCAGGTTGATCTCTATCTAACTTGCCATTCTCCTGCCTTAGCCTCCCTAGTAGCTTGTATTATAGGCATGTACTATGTACACTCTACTCTTAAAATATATATATCGAAGATTCAGGTTATAGTTCAATGGTAGAGTGATGCAGTGCTTAACTAACATGCATGAGGCCCTGAGTTCCATCCCCAGTACCACTATGTAAAAACCCCAAACAACAATGAGATCTTTACCAGGTGCTATAGCACATGCCCATTGCCCCAGACACCAGGGAGGCTAAACCCAGGAGTTAAAACTAGCTTGAGCAATGTCATGAGACTCTGGCTCAAAAGCAAATACACAAACTATATATGCCACGTTCATCACTGTGATTAAAATGAGTACTTAAAATTCAGAGATGGGATTTGTTTCTGGTAGCTCCCAGATTCTGGAACTGGGCTCAAACACACTGGCTCCCAGAAAAGGTTTTTTAGCTCCTATAGACAGCTGGCTGGAGTATAAGTTAATTTCTCTTCCTTTGTGAATTACAAATTACCTTTAATTAGGGGGAAGAGAGATTTTAAGGAAATCTGTTTTATCGCCTATTAACTTTTCAATTTCAATTCTACGTTATTAGTAAGATGAGACTACAGATAGAATCTTCTGGAGTATGTGTATGTTGTGGGGGAAAGGACATTTTTATTCTCAAACTTGCATTTTGTATTAAGAGTCTATTGTCAAAGAAGTTAAAGTGTTCTGGGCACAAGTAGCCCTTTGACAGCCGTAGCTGCTTTCTAAATCATTTGATCCTGCCTCTGCTCAGGTGGCCATAGGCAGGAACATAAACTCCTATGCCTTTCAAGCAAACTCATCAGGGAGAAAGTGAACTTCTGCCTCCAGTGCTATAGAGCAATCTAGTGTGTGTTTTTCCAGCCTTTGTCTTAGCTTCCTAAATAGCATGCGTACGTTGCCTCTAAATTTGAGTTATGTTTGCCTTCCTCTTTTCTAGAAATAGCATAGCCCCAGTCTGAGTTGATAGAGAGCAATGGGTTACAGACCTGAGAAGCGGCGAGATAACATTAAACCCTCTGTACTCCAACCTTCCCCCTGGCCCTCAGCAAATGTCAAGGGCTGCCTTCTCTACCGCAGCAGCCAGCTGGCACGAGGAGGACAGGTTTGATGGTTTAATCACCCAGGGACACAAGTGGCTATTTTTAAGTACCCTGAAAGGAAGGAAGCTGGCTCTAGATTGAACTGGACACAGGAATGTGTTGGAAGCTTCAGCTCTTATATGCAACCCTTTCTACCCCAGGCTGCTACTAGGGGTCTTCTGAATGACTCTGTTCTGTCTTTCTTGTCACAGAATTGTACAGCTACACTGAGAACCTGGAATTCACTTCCAACAGGCGGTGCTTTGAAGAAGATTTCAAGACACAAGGTGATCCCAGACCCTCACACATAAAGATGTGCTTTCTCCCTCTATAGTGGCCCAGTCTGATCCAGTAAAAGGCTAAAACAAAGTATGCTCCTCCATGGCTTACCTTTCCCTTCTCTTATGTGGGATGCATGGTTCTCTGATCTCATTTGGAAAGCCTAGGGGGAGTAGCAAAAGAAGCCTGAGCTGAACCTCTTTCCCTGTATAAAGGACCAAAAGGCAGAGAAATGGTGAGGCTAGGTCAGACTAGTGCCCGCCGTCTCATGGAGCCAGTGTGTGACTGAGTCCTTGAAATTAGCTCTTCATCCCTGCCCTTAACTCTAACCCACTCTCAGTAGCAATTTTATGTGCCCACACTGTAATACCCTCAGATTTCTATTTATTTGGCCAATGACAATTCACTACTCAGTTCAACAAATGTGTGGTAAATGTGTGTTGTGTCAGAGATGCACGAAGCAAGGATGAAGGTAAATATGTAGCTTCTACAAAGAGCTTATAACCCGGTAGCAGCAGGGAGATGTGTACATCACAAAGCTAGCTAAAGCCAACAGGAAAACATGAAAGGCCATAGAAAAGTAAAGGACGTATTAGGGAACAGAGATTTCACCTGGGACATTAGTGTGAAAGGTCATTTCATATTGGGCGTCCTAGATGGCTAGGATTTGCATGTGGATGGAGACAAAAACTCCTGGAGGAAAGGAAGCAAAAGGATAATAAGTTGGTATGGAGGACAGGAAGAATGTTGAATATGAAACTAGGAAGTTGTTTCAGGCCAGAGTATTTTAGATCTTTTTCCCCTTTATTCCGTTCCTAAATAAGGAAAGCTTCAGGTTGAAGGCCCTAGGTTTGAACCTTAGCACAGTAAAAAAATTTTAAAATAAGGAAATCTTTTGTTCTTTTTCTGTACTAGGGATTGAACCAGGACCTTCCCACTAAGCTACATCTCAGCCATTTATATTTTTAAATTTTGAGACAGGATCTCATGAAGTTGTCTGGGCCAGGGTCAAACTTGTGATCCTCCTGCCTCAGCCTCCCAGAGTGCTGGGATCATAGGCATTTGTATGATGCCTGGCTAGGAAATCTTTTAGAGAAAAGTGTGTATTGAGAGCTCAGATCAGTGGCAGATACAGTCAGAAGCCTTCCCAGAAAGTGGTGGCAGTAGCCAACACTGGATCTACGTGGCCTTCTATCCCTAGTGCAAGGCAAGGAATGGCTGGAATTGGAAGAAGATGCCCAAAAGACCTATGTGATGGGACTCCTGGACCGGTTGGAGGTGGTTAGTAGGGAGCGGCGCCTGAAGGTGGCCCGAGCTGTTCTCTATTTAGCCCAAGGTGAGTTCCTCCACTTGCCAACCTCAGAAGGGCAGAGACTGGAGAGGAAAGCGAGGGGAGATGGACTGTTTGACAAAGTTCCCTGCCTCTCGAAGATACATGTGCTAGAAGTAATCCATGCTTATGAGGAAAATGAAGAGATGGGGTCAGGTACTATTCAGAATCCCTTGGTATACCTCTGTGTGTTTTTCTTTGTTTGTCTTGTTTTGTTTTTATTTTATTTATTTATTTATTTACTTATTTTGCGGAACCGGGGATAGAACTCAGGCTCTTATGCTTGCCAGGGAAGCGCTTATTCCACTGAACCATCTCCCCGGCCCTTCAGAATCCCTTGGAATCACCTTTATGGGGTTCTTTTTCCTCTAATCTCAGCTACAAGGGTATATGTGAAGATTAATAAGAAAGTCAGTGTGATCAGAGCTGATGCTGTCCTGTCAGCTGGGCAGGGAAATGTCTTTCATCAGCAGTGGCCTGGTCCCAACACTGAGTGGAGATAGGGACTCACTAAGGCTCCTGTGCATGGCTTGTCATTGGCATTTTGAAGGTTCAAGCCAGTACAGCAGCAGGAGGGATGCTGTGAGTAATTTGGAGGTGATTGGAAGTAAAAGAGGTCAGTTGGGGGAGGCTTCCCAAAAGAGACGTGGGCTAGCAGGAGGGGTGAAAGTGTATCAGGACATCCAAACAAGAGGATTGCTGGAAACCAGCCAGCTGGGAGCTAAACAATTGTAAAAGAAAAAATAAATGAAGAGGAAAGAAAGTAGGCATTAGGTGAAGGGAAGACTAGCACATAAGATGGTATCACCCTTGCTTTTAGATCTGGTGCCCTGGCTAACTTCCAGCTGCCAGTATAAAGGTCTTTTTGCCTGGGGGCTTTCTCCACAGCTAAGGAAGGGTAACCAGGAAGTGTAGGGAATTAACATACTCTCTGAGTCCAGTAGTCCTCATAAAATGACTGACAGGAATGAAATGATAAATAGCCTGACTGTAACACCCCTCTGGGTAGGGTAACTGAGTTTGTGTGCTTTGTATCGTTTAAAAGGCCTCCGCTTGGGGTTGTACTCTTGTTGCCATATCTCCTCCCTTACTTTACTATTTCTCCATGGATGAGTCCTAGGATGAACTTCCAAATAAACTACTTGTACTTGAATTCTTACTTATTTCAGAGTCTACTTTTGGGAGATCCCAAAGTTAAGACAGGCCATTAATGAATACATTGGACCTACCCCTAGTGAGTACCCTCTTTTCTCCTGTCTCCTTGAAGAGAGTGCTCAGAGGTACTGCCCTGTCTTTTCCAACCTAATTGTGGGCCAGGTGTAAGAAGACAGTTTTAAGATCATGGGTCAGGAAGGAAACACTGCAATTCCTGCCCCTCCTCAACCCCTCTGGCAACTGTCTGGTCCTTTAGGCACTTTTGGGGAATGTGATTCAGAGGTCGATGTGCTACACTGGTCCAGGTACAACTGCTTCCTGCTCTATCAGATGGGGACCTTCTCAGCCTTCCTGGAGCTACTCCACATGGAAATCGAGTGAGAAGCCTTAGGGGTGGGCTTACCTAGACAACCCTCTTCCTTGAAGGGCCTCATGTCCTCTGCTGGTTTCCTCCCACAGAGACCACTGGGGAGCTGGGACTGTGTACACCTCAGCTCAGGGACAGTGTCCCTCTGTCCAGCCATGTCTCCTCCTGATATTCCGCCCTCCTCCCTGAGCTTGGGCTCAGAAGCAGCTTCTGTCCCAAGTATAGCTTCCTTCCTAGGCTTCAGGGGCCTGTTGAGGTTGGATTCTTTTTTGTTAAATCCAAGTACCCTCGTAACTTAGCCTGACTTTGGAATCCATACCCCATTTTGTCTCACTGCTTTCACCCAGGACTTTTAGGGTAGGGTGAAATCTGTTTCTTGTTCATCAGGTGGTACTTTGCATCTATTTTATGTCTAACAGCATTAGGCATAGTGGTGCTCACAAGAGGAATGGACATCACGGACACAGTCCTTGCCTGTCTTCACACAGAAGAGAGTTTACTGAGTTAGCAAGAGAATTCTCTATGGGCTCCTTTACCATAAGACAGTTTCAGGTGTCTACATAGCCAGGGAGTGGCAGATCCTCATTTGTGGGTATGTTCGGTGAGAGAAACAAGACTCTGAGGGTTCCTTTTCTCTCCTTCTTCCCCATGGCAGCAACAGTCAGGCCTGTAGCAGTGCCCTTCGGAAACCAGCTGTCTCCATTGCTGATAGCACAGAGCTCCGGTGAGTGGGGCTGACTGAGGGCTGGGAGGGGGCTGATTACCCCTTCCTCAAAGCCTAGACCGCAGGGCATTGCCTGCTATCTACTCTCATTGGTTTGGACTTCCCCTGAGATCATCCCTGAGGTCTCTCTTGACTACCAGCTGGGCTGGGAACACTCAGGAACCTTTTGTGACCTTTTGTAACCTCAGGGTTCTGCTGAGTGTCTTATACTTACTGGTGGAAAATATCCGCTTGGAGCGAGAGACAGACCCCTGTGGGTGGAGGACAGCTCGGGAGACCTTCCGCACTGAACTGAGTAAGAAGTGGCATTTAAGGACAGGTGGGGATGGCATGTAGTGGGGAGGGGGGACACACACCATCTGCCTAGAAGAGATAGTCCTTTCTTTTTTTTTTTTTTTTCAGTACCAGGGATCAAACTCAGGACTTTGTACTTGCCAGGCAGGCGTGAGATAGTCCTTTCTTTCCTTTTTTTTTTGTACCAGGAACCAAAATTGTGCTTGCCAGGCAGGTGCTATGCCACTAAGCTATATCCCTAACCCTTTTTTTTTTTTTAATTAACATTCTTTCATTTAGGAGTTATTACATGGGAGGCACAAGGGCTGGGTTTGATTGATCCCCTGTATCTATGAGTCAGGACTAATCATAGGACTTTCCTGTGCTTGGTTTCTTTGGTTGCGAATGAGAGCCCTTCCTCTCCCATTTCATCACAGATTCCACATCAAAAAATTAGTTGAGGGGCCAGGGAGATGGCTCAGTGGAATAAGCGCTTCCCTGGCAAGCACAAGGGCCTGAGTTCAATCCCCGGTTCCACAAAAAAAAAAAAAAAGAAAAAAGAAAAAATTAGTTGCATCACCTTAAAAATTGAATTCTGTTCACATGTAAGTTGATGTGGTCATTTAAGTGGAATAATATATGAAAGCCTATGAACTTTTAAAAATATATTTATTGGTGTGGCAAAGTGAATTGTTGTCCATGCAATACCTTGAGTGGCTCAGCCACAAAGTACCATCTTCATTACCATTACTTCTAGTTTGGCCTCCACACCCACAGCATCACTGAAACTCTGGGAGTCAAGCTATTTTACCTCAATAGCCTCCATTTCTGCCTTTGAAGGGCTTTGCTCTGGGATCCACTAAGCCTCCTGCTCAGGACCAGCTACCCTAGATTTCTCCAGCAGAGGTGGCTGACTTCCTCAGTATGTCCAGACTCAGGGACACAGGAGCAGGGTTTCAGCTACTTCATCATTTTCTCACTTGTCTCCCTTCGTCCCCAGGCTTCTCCATGCATAATGAGGAGCCCTTTGCCCTTTTGCTCTTCTCTATGGTTACCAAGTTCTGCAGTGGCCTGGCCCCCCACTTTCCCATAAAGAAGGTCCTGCTTCTGCTCTGGAAGGTGGTCATGGTGAGTGGCTGACCTCCCTATTCCCATTTCGTCAGATCAGTGGCACCCACCTCAGTTTCTTTTGTTCTAACTCCAAGAACTGATAGCAGCTGCTAGCCAGCAGCTAACAAGGAGGGACAGGACCACCCTCAAGATGGCAGATGTGCTGCATCCGAGCAGGTGTCTGTCTCTCTGTGACAAGTGGGAGATGCTGCTCCATGAGTCAAGTTCCCCTAATAGAGCTGATGACTCATAGCAAGAACACAGGCTGGAACAGGGAGATCTGCTGCTGCTGATACCAAGGAACCTTGGGCAACTCTGCCTCAGTGTTTCTAGGGTTATTACTTGCCCTCCCTCTAGATAAATAGTGGATTTATCTTTTTTCAAAAGTAAGTTCTTTTTTTTTTTTTAAACTGTCAGTTCAGTGATTCTTTTTTTTTTTAATTTTATTTATTTATGTGTGTGTGTGTGTGTGTGTGTGTGTGTGGCCAGCTCAGCCCACCAGGGGGCGGCGCTGGCTGGCATATGGTGCTGGGGGATTGAACCGCGGTCCCTGTGCTTTGTTTAGCTTAGCTTGTTCTAAATAGGTGCTTTAGACCACTGAGCCATCTCACCAGCCCCAAAAAGTAAGTTCTTGGGCTGGCCAGATAGCTCAGCAGAGTAAAGCACCTGCTTAGGCAGAGAGCAGCAGCTGGGATTCGATCCCTGGTATGCCATGCCAACCCCGCCCCCAGGGCACACTGAAATGGCAATTGAGACTGGGTGTGGTGGTGCGCACCTATAATCCCAGCATTTGGGAGGCTAAAAACAGGAGAATCACTGTGAGTCTGATGTACGTAGTGAGACCCTATGACCCTGTATTAAATACATTAAAAAATGTAAGTCCTTAGCTAGGAGTAGTGGTACATGCTTATAATCCCAGCACTCAGGAGGCTGAGAAAGGAGGGTCACCCACCATAAGACTGAAGCCAGCCTGAGCTACATAGTGAGACTCTGTTTTTAACAAATCAAAAATACACACACACATACATACATACATAGAACTTATAAGTGTATGGTGGCAGTTTTGTTACTTATTCAGCCTGATCCACTATCCCTGTTGAACAACAAACCCTTCAGGCCAGCCTCACAGGGGAACTGTCTTCATGGCAGAGGAAATTGAGTGACTGTGTGGGTTCAAAGTATCCAGATGTATCCTTTACAAAGGAGGCCTCACAAATCCCTTTTCTAATTTCTGGTGGTGGTTCTAACTCTGGTTCAGTAAATAAAAATAATTTATTTTGACCCCTGAGCTCCTCAGCCTTGGGTGGTATCCACATTTGCCCTTTCCTGTTTTTTGGCTCCTTTATTCAGGAGGGAATCTGAGGAGCCTGAAGGTTGGAGTTCTTTCTTCCTAGCTATGCTTCTCTGCCCTTGTTTTATCTGGCATCCCTCCCTCACTCTTCTCTGTCTCCTTTCCTTTTCACTTTTAGTTTACCCTTGGTGGATTTGAGCATCTGCAGACTCTCAAAATACAGAAGCGGGCAGAGCTGGGCCTGCCTCCGTTGGCCGAGGACAGTATCCAGGTGGTGAAGAGCATGCGCGCGGCTTCACCACCCTCCTACACTCTGGACTTGGGGGAGTCTCAGCTGGCACCACCACCCTCCAAGCTACGAGGTCGCCGTGGTTCTCGAAGGGTATGGACTAAAACAGACTGGTGTGACATTGGCTGACCAAAAATCAAGATTAAATTACTCTGGATATCATAAGAAAGGACAGTAAACAATGTGGCTCATTCTGACCCAGGATGGTCCTGTGACCAGCCTGAAATCTTTGAGCAATGGTCCGTCAACCTGACAGGCTCCTGGGCTATCCTGATGGAACACTGTGACATCAGTATCATATGGCCATGTCTTCTCTGGGGGTCACTGGTCTGGACCTCCGAGACTGAACATCCTAAAATCCCAGCACTCTGGGGATGGGGTTCCCAGAAAATCCATGTCCCTAGGGTGTGGCATTTTACCTTTTTTTTCTTTCTTTCTTTTTCTTTCTTTTCCTTTTTCTTTTATTTTTAACTTTACCATTTTCTTATCAGCAAGGTTTACTTTGAGCTAGCCATACTCTTATCTGACCCTGGAGCTACAGGTTTACATTAAGAGATAACTGCTTAGGGTTCTAGGTATACGTTGCAGCTCTGAAAAATTAAGAATAAATTAAACTGAGATCTGGCCATGTTCCAGATCTCACTTGCCTGGCATTCTTGAGTTCACCAACTAACTAGAGGTGACCAGAACAGATAGTCATGCTCACTAATCCAGTCTACATTATATGCAATGTAATTTTTTAACCTTTTGTTTATTCTATAAAGCAATGCTTACTCATTGTAGAAACAAATACAAAAATGGAACAAATATAAAAATGTGATGAAGAGAGAAAAGAAAAATCACCCACAATCTTAACAACCAGAACCAGTGACTGTTAACTTTTTGGCCTATTTCTGTCTAATCTGTTTTTCTTTTTGCAATAAGATTTAAAATTCCAAACTCACTTGCCTTTGCCTAGTAGCAGTCTTCTGTCCTCTTCCACAGTCGACCAGCTGGTGTATGCTCATAGGAGGCAAACTAATTGAATGTTCACCTAAGTAGATCATAATTAAGAAGGAAAGTGCTGACCAAAAAAAAAAGCATCAGTGCTTTCTGAAAGTTAAGTAACAGTGACTTTAGGATTATCTCTAGTCTGTCCCTGGCTATTGATATGGTTGCCAGATTTCTGCTTATCCTGGGATTGAAGCCAGTGTGAGCTATTAGGTTGGGATGGGAAGTGGAATGTTCTCAGAGGAACTGGGTTCAGACTCCCTGTACCCTAAAATCTGGAAGTTTCTAGGTGGGCCTGGCTTCAGACAAGGCTGCCCAAAGTGAAATCTCTGTATATTTTCTTCCCCTATCCCCAGCAACTCCTCACTAAGCAGGACAGCCTGGATATCTACAATGAAAGGGATCTCTTCAAGACTGAGGAGCCAGCCACAGAGGAGGAAGAGGAGTCTCCTAGTGATGGAGAACGTACCTTGGATGGAGAATTAGACCTGCTGGAGCAAGACCCTCTGGTGCCACCTCCACCCTCACAGGCACCCCTCTCTGCTGAGCGAGTGACCTTTCCCAAAGGCTTGCCCTGGGCCCCGAAAGTCAGGTAGGTTTAATAACAACTGAACTCCACCCTTTGGGGCTTTAGTCCCCAAAGGTCCAGAATAATATAATCTTTGTCTTCATTGCTCATCGAGCTGGGCTGGCAGTCAGAAGTCGTGGGTTTGACATTCTCCATTGACTGCTATCTTCCCTCATTGCTCCAGACCACCATTTAGAGGAGCAGGAGCCCAGAAAGGTTTCTCTCACAGTTTGCTTTTCTTCCCTTCTCTGCGGTTGGTCTTGCCATCATCCTCTCAGACAGAAGGACATTGAGCATTTCCTGGAGATGAGCAGAAACAAGTTCATTGGATTCACCCTGGGGCAGTAAGTGATCGAATGGTCAAAATTGGCCATGAAGGGGCTCCTAGGAGGCCAAAGGAACAGGTTGCTGCTGTGAGGGCTATTGTCAAGTAGTCATAGTGCGACCTAGAGCCACAGGACCACAGTGATGACTTTGGGTTCTCTCCACAGAATTTGTTCCTTGAATTCCTTCCAGTGTCCTCAAAGAACTTTGTGTTAGAGCCAAATATAGGATCTTGAGCAGCAGATTACTTCCTTCTTGGGCCTCAATTTCCTCATGAGATGTTAGATTAGATAAAGAAGAGGCATGATCACAACAGATCCAATCTTCTCCCATTTCTCTACCCTCATGAATTCTTCCCACTGGCCTATATAAAACATAGAAGGCTTTGTTATTTGATTTTCACTGTCAAAAACTTTGTTGGGGCTTGGTTTATTGGACACATTTGTAGTCCCAGCTACTAGGGAGGCTGAAGTGAGCTTGAGGCCAGCCTGGGCAATTTAATGAGACCCCCCCTCCCTATCTCACAAAAATAAAGATAAAAAATCGTAGTGTCTTTGGGCTACATAAATTCTTTTCAGTAGGAAACCATTACTCTCAGACCAAGTGAGTCTCCAAAGAGACTTTACAAACCTAATTCTCAGTAAACACTTCAGTGTACCATTGTTATTTTTGAGTCCTGAAGCAAGATGTGGGACGTAGAGGCTTACTAGTGGTGTGGTCCCTGTGACTGCAGGGTGTGTGGGTAATTTTCTGCTCTTTTGAGACTCATCACTGATGTTTCTGCCTTTCTCAGGGACACAGATACCTTGGTGGGATTGCCCAGACCCATCCATGAGAGTGTGAAGACCCTAAAGCAGGTGACCAGGGTGGGCTGCAGGAATAGGGAGACATCAAGGCAAGTAAGATTCCTAGGTCTTAGACACAGAGTGGAACTCTTCTGTCAGTCACATTGAGGACCTTCTACACTCGCCCTGCAAGCCTGGCTTTTGGCCAAATAGGAAAAATCAGGTCTCTATCTACTTACCTAGTTTCCTGCATTCACATAGCTGATAAAGTTTTCATTTGTTGCTCTCATTCTTCTTCCCTCTTTCTATTCTTCTCTTTCTCACTCACTTTCCACTTCTTGCTCCCTTTCATTTCACGTCTCTCTGCCCATAGATCCACTAATGTGCAAAGGCCCAGGACTGAGTAGGAGAGTAGGAGTCTGCCCGAAAGCCACTGTGCATGAGCACAGAGTAGGGAGGCATCGCTCTGTGCACACCTACATCAGCTCTCAGGGCAGTGGCCAGGGAAAGGCTTGGCCTTGGCTCGGCCTTGTACTTTGAAGGTAAATGCTTAAATATTTGCTGCTGTTCAACAAATATGGAAATATATACTACCCAGCAGCACCGTGGAAGAAGCACTTTGCTTGATGCTGGTGATGTAGAGGTGAATAAGACTCCTGTCTTCAGAGAGTTTATATCTACTGGGGGCAGATATCCATAGCAGAACAAGGCTTCATCAGCAAGAAAGTTGAGAAACTGGTTACACAGGTGACTGTCACCCTCAGCCCTGTTGATGTCGTCTTATCTTCGCCAGCACAAGTATATCTCCATCGCAGATGTGCAGATCAAGAATGAAGAGGAGCTGGAGAAATGCCCCATGTCTTTGGTGAGCCAGGAGAAGGGACTGTATGCAGTGCCGCTGCAGATGTGTGTGCATGCACTGATTCAGTGTGCTGGGCTCTGGCCAGGTGCCAGGCAAGACCAAGGGCTTGATTTCATGCTATTTTAAAGTTGAGGAGGAAAGTAAACAGGGCTACTGAGGATGGTAGATGCAGTGCTGAAATTTTACTTACTTTTTAAGCAGTGGCAAAGTTTATTTGATGTATGTTTTTCAAAACTACTTGTTTCTGGCTAAAGGTTGGACCAGAAAAAAGGGCAAAAACACTGATCAGTCTTGAAATCAGTCAAGGTGACCTGGACTAAAGTAGTAACTGAGAGAACAGGAAAAGTAGGTGAATCTGGTTTATATTTTGGAGGTGTCACTGACAAGACTTGCAGTTCAGTTGGATGTGGGAAAACAGGCAAAAAGGAATCAAGGATAAGTACCATCAGCTAGGTGAGAGAAGTGTGAGTCTCACTTTGGTCACTGTAGATGCTTGGTAGATACCCATGCAGAGCTATGGGGCAATTAGGTATATTAGGCTAAAGTCCTCGGGAGAAGGCTGGCTCTAAGATGTGTGGAAGTTACTGATCTACAGATAGTGTTAAAAGTCACAAGATTGTCTGAGAGAATCCAGCAGGGAGCAAAGTGGAAGAAGATGGGACGTAGAACAAAGTCCCCACTAGCACTAGTGTATTGAACAGGGAATGAGTCAGGAAAGGAGCCAGAAAAGAATAAGAAAAACACTCAGTGAAGTCAAAGGAAATCCAGGAGACTAATATCACAAAAACTGAGAAAGTATTTCAAGAAGAGAGTGATTCACACATTAATGCTGCTGGTGGATGACACGCCATAAGAACGGTAGTGCCCACCTGATTCAGCAACATGAAGGTGAGTGGTGATCTTGGTAAGAGCAACAGCAAGTGAAGTGGTAGGGCTGAAGGCCTAGTTTCAGTGTGTGAGAAAAGAACGTCAAGAAGGAAGTGGAAAAGGAAGAGGGAAATGGATGGGTTGGTGGCTGAAGGAGGGTTTGAGGTCAAGGGAGGGTGTCTCACAACAGAGTTGCCAGAGTATTTTTATGTCCTAAAAGAACTGACTGAGAAGAGGAGCTAATTACAGGACGATTAGCATCCACAGAGTGACAGGGTGTGGGGTCCTGAGCCCAAGTGGAATGCTGAACTCAAAGCGTAGGGCCATCAGCCTTTTTGTCACTAGGCAGGCAGTCTGCTAGAGAGAAATGAGGGTACCTGTCTACTTCTATTTTCTCCATTAAAGTGTGTGAGTCAGAGTCAGCAACAGTTGAGGAATTGTGGGGCAAGGGAGTTGGTTTTGAGGAGACACAAGGATTTAGGGAATAGGCCTTATAGGAAGGTGCACATGCCTGCATCACCAGGCTCTGGTGAATGCCTGTCTAAGCTGCTGAGTTGTGCTGAATAGAAGGGGCCCAATTACTCCTTGCTGCCTCAGGGTCTCATGGTAGTGACCCTTGCCCTGTAATAGAGGGGCCTAGAGAGAGAAGGGACTATAGTGTCCAAAGGTGACAATGAGGTCTCATCAACCACTTGAACTCCCCTGACTCCTGCTTAGTTGGGGCTCATGGAGAGGACAGAGACAGCCAGGTGTGGTGGCACATGCCTGTAATCCCAACAACTTTCTGCGAGGCTAAAGCAAGAGGATTGCAAGTTCGATTCCAGCCTGGGAAACTTAACGATTTAGCATGATACTGTCTCAAGATGAAAAGTAAACAGGACTATGGATGTAGCTCCGTGCAAAAGCCCAAGGTTTAAAGCCCAAGGTTTAATGCCGTGGTCTGAAAGGAGAAAATGATGTTACTAGTGTTAATTGAGTCAGAAAGAAATTAGTTTCTCTTGAGCTAAAAGCTTCTTGCTAATACTTCTTGTCTCTCTGGCCAGAGGTTACCTCGCTCCCTTACTAACCCTCCTGAGCCAACTCCCTTTCATGGCTTCTAGAGCATTCTAGAGCTCTCTGTTGCCCTCTCATTGACACCATGGGAAGTGCCTGTGTGAGGCGTCTGTTCCAGCAGCCCATGGACACCTGTAGCCTGAGTTAACCCATGTGTGTAGCCACAGTGGTCCTGTGCATGTGTCCAACAAAACAGTGGTCTGGGCTAACTTCTAGATGGGTGTTCTAACACCTGATCCAGCATGTGATGTGAAAGACGAATTCTGGATTAATTACAGATAATGGGAAAACTAGAAGCATAGATTATTGGGATTGGAAGAGACCTCAAAGATCACCCAGACCAACCCTCTGATCCTATGGAAGAGGAAACTAGGACTCAGAGAAGAAAGGTCACCTGTCCAAGGTCATATACCAAATCACTAACACAGCTAGAATAACAACCTAGATCTGACTCCTAGCTTAGTGTCTTTTCATACCATATCTTTCAACTGAGAAGATGAAGCCTTTGGTCATCTAAAAAGTGGCCTGTGCAAACTGTGTTTCCTGCCATAGGGAGAAGAGGTGGTACCAGAAACACCATGTGAAATTCTCTACCAAGGCATGCTGTATAGTCTCCCCCAGTACATGGTAAGGAGATAGCTGGGCAAGCTGCTTTGCTTTGCGGTGGGGAATAGAGAACTAAGAGCCACTTCAGACTCTGCTGTTTCCTGAGCTATAGCTACTTCAGCAAAGCATTACAATTCTGAATTTTCCTTAGGGCTCCTCTTAAGGTGCTCTTCTCTTGGGGGAAGGATAGAGAATAAAGTGCATTCTATGTAGGATGCATTAGAGGCCCTTTTAGGGAAGCAGAGTTCTTTTGAGATCTGGTGTTGTCTGTCGTGTCCTCTGTAGCACTGGTCTGGGAGCAGTAACAATGCTGATGGTTAGGATCAGAGGAAGAAAAACATAGGGAAGGCTGGACTTAGCCCATCTGTATTATTTGCATGCATTGTCCCTTCCACTCTGTTCCTTCCGTCCTTCCCCTTGGAAGCGAAACAGCCTATGAGCTCCCTTCCAACTTTCTCCTTAGCCTCTCAGGACTAGGCACCTATTTGCACTTCTGGGTTCAGGAGAGATTTTGTCACTAAAGAAAGAATTTAGAGAAAGGCTTACAAGTACTTTTCACTGAGCTGATGAGCTATGGAAGAGTCTCTGCCTTGCTGAGTAGGATAGATATGGATGGATTTAATTCTTTCTACTTCTCAGATCGCTCTGCTTAAGATTCTCCTGGCTGCAGCTCCCACCTCCAAGGCTAAGACAGACTCTATCAATATCCTAGCAGATGTCCTGCCTGAAGAGATGCCGTGAGTGCTCCCACTGTGGCTCTGCTGGGTGCCAGTGTGTTGTCCTCAGGGCCTCTTCGTCCCACCAGGCCTTGTTATCACTTCTGGGGATTGTCTTCAAAGAGATCTCCCCTTTCCTACCACTACCCCCTTTTCCCTGCAGAGGCCTCTACTGTGGTCTTTTCAGCTTAGGACTGAGGGTCCAGAGATTGACCCCCTGAGTATGTGGGTAGGCATTGCCAAGGGACAAATATGCCAGAGAGATCAGTGGAGTTTCTGTCCAGGCAGGTTTGTAACTGTGAACTCTGGAGATTTCCCTATTTAGATTTCCTAAGTTCTGACTCTTGTGTACCTTCTGTCTGACCCAAATACTGGGTCCTCATAGGCCTCCCTCCGAGGCCTCCCTCTGCACTAACATTGTAGCATCTCCTCTCTCCATTGTAGCATCACTGTTCTCCAGAGTATGAAGCTGGGCATCGATGTGAACAGACACAAGGAGATCATCGTGAAGAGTATCTCTGCTCTGCTCCTCCTACTCCTCAAGCACTTCAAACTCAACCATATATACCAGGTGGGACTCTAGGAGCATTTCCCCATAGGCCTTGAGAGTTCTCCCACCCTAGGGGCAGGCCAGAATCCTTGTAATCTGAGCATCTTCCAGCCCTTACCTTGTCCTCAGAGGATCTAGCTACTTGTGTGGTGAGCTTGGGGTGGGAATATGAAGTGGGATGTGGAGAACTGCTTAGAAAAGTGCAGTATCTGTGTGCTAGGTAAGTTTGCCTAGAGTCATGAATAAGAATTCTTAGAAATATGTCCAGTCAGTTTTGAAAAATGCCAAGTCAGAATTCAAACATTCTCCCAAGCTGCACGTGGTGGCACATGCCTGTAATCCCAGCACTATGGGAGGCTGAGGCAGGACGATCACATATTTGAATCCAGCCTGGGCAGTTTATCAATTTAGTAAGACCTTGTCACAAGAAATTAAAATTAAAGGATCTTGGAATATAGCTCATGTGAAGGCCCTAGGATCAATCCCCAGTACTTCAAAAACAGAACAAAATTCCACCAAAGAAAGCAGGATATATTGACCAAGCTTTTTATATGAAGCACTCTTCTGACATTTTAGGTATAATTCTGATAAAACTTAGTTCCGGCTTTTAAAGGCCCCAAAGTCTTATAAAGGTTACAGATACATAAACAGCCAACTGTACAATGACAAGTGCTGTGATGCAGGTAAGCACTGGCTGCTATGGAGGCACCTAATCCAATTTGAGGTAGAGAAGAAATGACCTCTAGCCTGAGACCTAAAGAAACAGATGTTAGCCAGGATGTGGAGTTGATGGGTGGAGGACAGGAAGCAATTCAAGTGGAAAAGCTAGCACGTGACAGTCCAGAGAGAGAAAGCAAAGTACTTTTGGAAACTGTAATTAAATGTTGCTAGAGTTGTGCCTTGAGTTGGGAGGAAGGAGAAAGCCTGCTGCTAATACATGGAGCTGCAGGGGTGAGCAGGGAGCCCATCTTAATGTGACGGCACATGGTTCCTGAGTACCTGTAACGTGCCTGGCACCCCATTAAGCTTGTGTGGGGCCTCATTTAATTGTCTTTATGAGATAGCTTTTATTTTATCTCTGTTTTATGGATGAGGAAGCTAAGGTTAAGAAAAGTTGAGGCTGTACTTTGCAAACATCATTGTTTGCCTTGTTGAAGAGTTTGGACTTGGTCCTGTAGGCAGTACCAAAATAAAGTGACAGGATGGGAGCGGAGAGCAGTGCTTCCTGTCTGTGGGGAGACCACAGGAAGGAGAGGAAGCCTACTCATTACTCCCCAGAGGCTTTGCCTCTTTTCTCCTGTATCTATCAGCCACTTGTACTTCTTCAGAGAGTGTCTATTCATTTTAGTTGCCCATTTTTTTATTTGGTCTTTATTTGGGGGAGTCTGATTTTTTTTTTTTTTTTTAGTTTTTTATATATTCTTAATGTTAATCCTCTGTGTGACAAATAGCTGGCAAAAGTTTTCTCCGATTCTGTAGAGTATCTCTTCACTCTACTGGCTGTTTCCTTTGCTGTACAGAAACTCTCTAATTTGATATGATTCTATTTGTTGATTGTTGGTATTATTTCTTGTGCCAGCCCATTTTTCTTCTAAGAAGTCAGAACCAGGTTTGATGACCACTTAACCCACTAGGTCTTCCCAGATACAAACCACATCTTGACTTGAGCAAGCCAATGGAGTCCCCATGCTCTGGTGTTCATCCTATCAAAGACATCTGGGGCTTCTCAGTGTCTGTTGGCTGAAGGGCTCTTTTCCCCTCCTTTATTGAAATACTGGTATTCTAAGTGCTAGGACAGTGTGCTACACCAGGCAGACAAGCTGGAGCCCACATTGCAGTGGGTCATTTGCCTACTGTGTCCTACCTCCATCCTGTCCAAGTGATGCCAGCAGTTGACTGGAGTGAGCTGCACCTGTCCCTGCTATATCAATCACAGTTGAAACATTATAAGCCAGAGCTTTGGTATGGAAAGCAGATCTCTCAGGGAGCCTTCCTTTCCTGTTGAGCTTAGGAACAAATCTCACAGCCATTCCTTCTAAATTTTTTGTTTGTTGTTTTTTGTTTTTGTTCTTGTTTTTTGGGTTTTTTTTGTTAGTTTTTTTTTTTTATAGTTTTGCTATGTAGTTCAGGCTGGCCTTGAATTCATGGTGATCCTCCTGCCTCAACTTCCTGAGTGCTAGGATTACAGACATGAACCGTTATGCCCGTCTCCTGTTTATTTGGAGTGTATTTTTCTTTCTGGTTTGTTTTCTTTTCAGGAGCATATAATGTGTAATCTGAATAGATTATCCCCCTCCTTGTAGGATGGGCTGGCTAAAGATGAAAGTCTCATTTCAGAGACAGGAGGATTAATAACACTAGTGGATAGTAGGTATTCTTGGGAATGGATATTAGATTTGTGATTCTCTCTTTGAGTACACCCTCTGTTTCCCCTCAGATAAGCATTCCTTTCTGCTTTGATCTTTTAATTCAGTTTGAATATATATCACAACATTTGGTATTTGCCAACTGCATTCCATTGATCCTAAAGTTCTTCAATCAAAATATCTTGTCCTACATTACTGCCAAAAACAGGTATGGACTGGAGATGGGTTTATTTCAGTGGGCTTCTTTGTGATTATTGAGAAAATTATGTCTCTGCACCTGGCGTCCCTTGTCTTTTTTGTCTTTTTGAGACTAGAGTCTCATTATGCAGTTCAGTCAGGCCTTGAGCTTACTTTGTAGCCCAGGTTGCCAGGCTGGTCTTGAACTGCTAACAATCCTCCTGCTCCAGCCTCCCAAGTGCTGGGATTACAGACCTGCAATACTACACCCAGGTAATTTTAACAGTTTTGAAACTGAACAGTGCAGGGTCGGCTAAATAGCTCAGCGGATTAAAGTACCTGCAAACAGGCTCAGGGACCAGGGGTTCCATCCCCAGGCCTGCTGTGCTGGCCCTGCCCCTGGGGCATGCTGAGACAGCAGTTGAGACTGGGCGTAGTGGCACAGGCCTGTAATCCCAGCTCTTGGGAGGCTGTAAACAGAAGAATCACTACAAGTCTGATCTAGTAGTGAGACCGTGAACACCCTGTAGACCCTTCCCTAAAATACAAAAAAAAAAAAAAAAAAAAAGGAAAAGAAAGGAAGAAACTGAATAATACTATTACGGAAATAAAACTGCAATGATGAAATTTCTGTGATGAAAGTCCTCTTGCGGAAGGACCCAAGAGATTTTGTTGTTCCAAAGCAATCTGCTTGTCTGGCCAGTGCTAGTCTCAGTCTAAATTATAAATTGGAATTCTTGCAGTTAGATTGCTTTGTAAAGTATAAAATATCATACAAAATCTAGCTCACGGTAAATAGAGCTTTTTTTAGGTAGATCAACTTGTAATTTAAAAAATATTTTCACATTCATTGTTTCATTTCATCTTAGTAGTGCTAAGAGATAAGTTTTTTATTCTCATTTTCCAACTAGGAGACAAATTTAGAGAGATTATTTGACTTGCTGAAGATAGCATACATCTTAAGTATGCATCAGTACTAGCCTACATCTTGGGTATGCTAATAAGTACCCTCTTCGGTACATCAGAAGCTAGATAAGAACATAGGCTTTTATGTGAATTTCCCAGCTGGAACTGGGATATTGCTGAGTAGCTCTTATTCCTTAGTCTGCTACTTCCACAAGAAGTAGAAGCATGTTATTTGGTAGTTTCCCAGAATTCCTCTATCAGAGGCTAAGTTACTAAGAGAGTTGGTGTCATACTTGGGCCGACTGGAGAGGGAAGGGCTAGGAGGTATTGTCTCGTCACTCTCAGTACTGCCTGAAATTAGACTGCAGAGTGCCAGCCTGGTATGTAATTTAAACACACACACTCTGCACTGGGCCCGCAGCCATGAGACCTGGATTCCTGACCTGGATCTGCCATTTGCTAACTGTAAGTATATAATCTCAGGATGCTTCGTTTCTCAGTATTTGCATCTTTAAAATGAGATTCCTGCCTCTAAGTATGTCGTAGAGCTTTTGTTCTTTTCCGGTGCTGGGGACTCACACGTGCTAATCAAGTGTGCTACCACATTAGCTATGTCCCCAGTGCCATAGAGCTTTTATAAGCATTAGTTAAGATTAGTACAAGAAGTGGGCTGGGAATGTGGCTCAGTGGCAGAGTGAAGCTAGCATGCATAAGGCTCTGAGCTCCACCCCCACCCCCCCAAAAAAAAATTAGTGTGGGAGTGCTTTAAATATTTTACTTTGAGGGGAACAAAGGAAGCATTGGAGAAAGGGTTTTTTCCTAGCTACATGGAAACCTGGGCACTGTTTCTCCTAAAAATGATGCTTAAGATATGTTTGTTGGATTGCTAGGAAAAATCAAAGTGTAGGCCAGGCATGATGGGTACATACCTGTTAGTTTTAGCTACTTGAGGAGCTGAAAGAATTATTGAAGTCAAGCTGGGCCACATACGGGGAGATTACCATCAAATGAGTAGATAAATATAAATTTTAAAAATAGGTCAGAATGTGTCCAAGCCACAACTGCATGCAGGCACCTGTGTGTATTAGTCAACATTCTCAGTTGTTACCCAATTGTCTTAGTCACTTTCTTCATTGCTGGGACAGACACTGACAACTTAAAGAAATTTATTTTAGCTCACAGTTTCAGAAGTTTCAGCCCATTTTGCAGGTTTAAACACAAAAATGCCACAGTGGGAATGTGTTCAGGAAGAGCAGGCAGAGAAAAGAGTACCAAGGGAGATACACCTCCTGGCCACACCCCCAGAGGCCCACCTCTTGCCACTAGACCCCACGGAAAGTCAGCTACATCACCCTTGTGATTCAGTCACCTTCCAAAAGTGCACCTCTGAGTGCATGAGGCTGCTAAAAGACATTCTTGAACACAACCACAGCACCAGTCTAGTTCTCATTGGGCCTGTGGGTCAAAGCGTGGTCTATAGTGTGGAGAACCCAAGACGCCTTTCATCTCCACCTATGGATACCTCATTTCTATATTTCACTCAGATTTGCTTTCTCACTGATAGATTTGTCTGCTTCTCAGACCTCTTGGTGAAATATGCCCACATGAACTAAATATGTCACTTGATCCTTGTTCCAGATTCCTAGGGTTAGATCTACTGCTGGGTCAGTCAGCTGTGCCAAGGAAAGTAGAGCACAGGAACTAAACATGTCCTCTTCCCCATGTCCGTGGGCTTCAAAGGGAAAGATAATATAATAGATGTCTGTAAATTTTCTTTGAGTTTGAAGTGTGGCGGTGGGGTTGGGGAGATAGCTCAGTAGAATGAGCGCTTGCCTGGCAAGCACAGGGTCTTGAGTTCATTCCCCAGCACCAGACAGAAAAGAAAAGAAAAGAAAAAAGTATGGTGGTGGCAGACTGCAGTTGTTGCTGGAGTTGACCTGGGCAAAATGGGGCCACCTGTGTGCTACCTGCCAGTTATACTTTTTGAATGATGCCTTAGAGCTTAGAGCACTACCACCATTTGCACAGTTCCCTTATGGCTTTTACAATCTAGATATTCTTGTAAGTTTCTTGGATGCTTCCTTAGGCTAGAATTTAGTTTGTGGAGAGAATGGAACAAGTTTCATCTTTGATTTCCCACCAGCTAGTCACCAGCACCTACTTTGGCATGGAGCCTTGTCCTGGGAGGTGGATAGATTGTGTGGGTGAATCAGCCAAGAATGTTTATCCTATGAGGCAATACAGAACTGGCAACCCTGGGACACCCAGAGTAATAAATCTTGGGCAACATTACATGGAGACTCACTGTTCTCTCCCAAGCTGACAGCTGTCCTCTGCTGCCCTGGTTCTCCTAGGACAGTGGTTGTGAACCTCTTAGAACATCAAGTGACACAAAGAGCCCTCTGTGGCACAAGTGCCAGTGGTTCACCACCACTGTCGTAGGTTACCTTGGCTTGTGTTTCTTAGAGATAAACATTTCTAGCCAAATAAATTGTTTTCTTTTGCTTACATTGAAGTTTTTTTGTTTTGTTTTGTGCCTGGCTCAGCCCATTCTGGGGGCAGGGCTGGCATGGCATGTGGTACCGGGGATTGAACTACAGTCCCTGCACACTTATTTAAGTTTGCCTAAGCAGGTGCTTTAACCACTGAGCTGTCTCACCGGTCCTTTCATAAAAGTTCTGACTTGCAAAATGCAGAGTTCAGGCACCCCACACTCATGACTACATATATCTCCTGCTTTGCCAAAATCCTTTACCTTTTTCAAACTGCAGTTCAGATTGGTATCTAAAACCTCATTAAATATCAGATTGAGTATCAGAGCCAGAGGAGCATTAGAGATTAGCCAAAATTCTGCATTGTACCATGAAGGAGAGAAAAAGAAGGAAAAAAAAAACCAAAAAACTGTCATCTGCTGAGTGACTGTGTCCCCACCATATGCAGTATCTTATTTCTATTCCTCACTCATGCCTGCTTCCTTGGGCTCATCACAGAGCACATAGTTTTCTTATAGTTCTCCGTTACTGGTGATGGGGCCAGACACCATCGTCATCCTTGAGCTGCTGGATTGGTTCTGCTGCAGGAAGCTGCCCCTATCTCATCCTTGCTGTAAGAGTAACTTCTGCAGTCATTTCCCAAAGTTCCTGGCTTTCAGAAATACCTGCCGAGAGACAAAGGCGTGGGTTCATTCTATCCTCACCCACTCAAATTGTTATTTAGAGGGGTGGGTATGGGTACCATCTCCAGGAGCACTATTGACACATACACTTAACATGCAGAAACAAGAATGCACTCAAGTTTCTATATTCCTTAAAGAAGCAGAGACAGCCAAGGAGAAAGGAGGCTCCCTTTCAGCACTTACTCTTTCTGTGTATGCTGGGTGGGACCAGACTGAAAGAACTTGATTTCCCTCATGACCGAGGAGATGAAACTGGAGCTGAGACTACCCAGCATCAGTGCCTTGGTTTCAGCTGAGGTCACTAAGCAATTTGGGAAATGGATGGACCCTGCTGGAGAGAAATAACCCCTGCCCTTTTAGATGCAACCTTTTCCTGCTGTTGCCATTTACCTAAAGCCTGTCCTTATCTGTGCATCTTGCAGCATCTCGGTCCTGGATTACCCTGGCTGTACCATTCAGGATTTACCGGAGCTTACTACTGAGAGTCTGGTAAGCAGATGGGGATTTAGCAGCTTTGAAACTGCCAGGTGGAAGAGGCTGGCATTTGCTTTTTCATTTCTTCTCCAGCCCTGTAATGCCCTGGTTGGGGGTCTGAGGCCGATGAAGGCATAATGGTAAGGGCGCAGAGGCAGTAGGGGCTTAGAACGGCTGACCTACTTAAGGAAGATTCAGAAAAGCTGACCTTAGCATTTTGCAGAGAAGAGAAAAGAACCAGTGAAAAACACCAAGGAGGAGAAGGAATTTAGAAAGATAATGGGACTGAAATTCAGTGAATGTTCATGCTACGTGGCAGAAATTTTTCTGATGTAGCACAATTTCTGCTGTGCTCTGACAATTCTCTTCTCATTTTTCTGCTGGAGTTATACAACCCAGGCGTATGTATTTCAGAAAAGATCTTGTCTCTCTGAGGCAAAAGTCAATATAGCCATAGAAAGATAACTCAGGAAGTCCTTCACCCTGAAAGTACTTCAAGGCAAGTCAGAAAAGTTCTTTCAAGTTATGAATTTTCTGAAACTGACTAAAAGCACATTGAAGATAAGCTCTACCTTGTGTATACTCCAGCCTACACACTCATCTTGCGGCGTCATAATTATTTACCTGTAACTTTCTCAGTCTGGCTGTAAACTTCTTGACAGAAAAGATATTACCAACTTCTTCTGTTTTTTGAGGCAAGGTCTCACTGTGTAGTTCAAGTTGGCCTTAAGCTCACTACGTAGCCCAACCTGGTCTTGAATTCAGCCCTGCTCCAGCCTCAGCCTCCCAAGTGCTGGGATTACAGGCGTGGATTACCTTGCCCTGTCATCTTCATTTTTATATCTAGCACTGTATCTGGTACATGGAAGCCTCAATAAGCGCAGAATGATTGGGTGATGATATCCATGGTGCCGCAGCATCTAACTGCAAAATGTTGAGTCAGAAAATACAAAAACACTTCTGTTTTTACAGACCCATAGGAGTGTGGCGTGAAGGGCACTTGAGAACCACTTAAGCTAAGCCCTTATATTTCAAAGATTAGTACCAGGTAGATGAATTAGTGTGTCATAATCCATGCCTCATAGGTGACAAATCCCAAATGAGATGAGAGTCCGATGTCCTGGGACAGTCAGCAAACTTAGTCTCTGAAACAAATTCCCTAACTTACTTAGATGTAGTCTCTGCCACCAAAGACGCTGGAAGCTCCAGCAGAGAGCTTTAAAACAATGTCCAGCTCTGTATGGTGTTCAGTCTCTTTCACATGAGTCTGGAGAAGTTGTTCTAGTCAGGGCAGACACACACACGCCCAGAAGCAGTGGTGCCAAGCATCATTAGGGTGTTACTATAGTACAATGTTTTAAAATATAAAGTCGGTTTTTAGGCCTGAATCTATTCCTTGATATACTGTAATATGCTTTCTCGTCTCCATTCTAACCTAGTTTATATATAGGAATCGATAGGAGCTCTACTTCCAAATCTCTTCCTACTGACCTTTGATATGAGCTAAAATTATTGTACTGAAGGGATTATGACGCTTTCTGAAAAGACTTTATTATTATCCCAAAGTGAGGGAAAGCGTGAACCCTTAATAAAGGGCGTGCTGGGATTGTATTCCTTTTTGTAAAGCAATAGTGGCACCTGGTGGTTTTGTTTAGTAACCACACCCCACACCCCGCACCCCACACCCCAGGACTTGTTACCGCGGGCTTCCATAACTACCAGTATAATGTTTTGTTTATCTAAATTGGCGATTTCTGTACCCTAAAAAAAGGCTGAAGTTTATAAACATAAGAGTTTTCTGTCTTTTAGGCTAAACAGAGAAAATACATTGGCTGTTTAAGTGTATAGGATTTACTTGAAATAACATAATTTAACAAAATAAAGGGCTGGCCAGATAGCTCAGTGGATTAAAGCACCTGCTTAGGCCAGGGTTCGATCCCCAGGCATGCTGTGCCGGGCCTGCCTCGGGGCATGCTGAGACTGTGATTGAGACTGGGTGTGGTAGCGTGCACCTGTAATCCAGTACTCGGGAGGCTGAAAACAGGAGGATCACTACGAGTCAGATCTGTGTAGTGAAACCCTGTAGACCCTGTACTAAATACATTTAAAAATAAAGTCTACATATTTGTAGTTTCACTTCACATAGTAAAGTTTAAGTATTTGCAATATATTTTTATTAACCTTTAGGGGGGTTGGTTTCTGGTGATGCTTCTGCCGAGTGCACGTGCTAAGCAGTAAACAGGCATTCTACCTCTGAGCTACACCCTCAATAAACATTTTTGGAGCTGGGTATGGTGGCACATGTCTGTAATCCCAGCACTTAGGAGGCTGAGGCAGAGAGATTATTGTGAGTTTGAAACCAGCATGAGCTACAAAATGAACTCAAGGCCAGCCTGAACTGCCTAAAAAGACAAAAAAAGAAAAAAAAATTGAAAGCCTGATTAATAGTTATACATGATACTGCACTGCTTAGTTTTTTAAAAGGAATACTGTTTTATTAAACATTTATCTCACTTTTCACTGTAGAACTCCAAAATACAGTATCCTTTGACCTCATCTTTAATTAATTCCTTAATATAGATTCCTGGAAATAGAGTTGATGGACTGAGATAGTCTTGGTTCGTATTTTCTGAACTTGAACTGAATTTAGTTTTTCCACTTGACACTCCAGCTGCACAGCATGGTGGACGTGAAATAAAGGCAAAGTCCACGGCATATTAATTTCTGAATCCTCTCCATTTTATCAAAATGGCTAATTTTAGAACAGGCTATTCTCATCCATGTACTAAGCAGTTTCTTACCCAGCTGGTGTGGGAAACTTAAAATTTCTGGATCCCCGGTGTCTATATTCATGTCTTTTTTTTTTTTGTTTGGCTTTTTTGGCGGAACCGGGGATTGAACTCAGGCCCTTGTGCTTGCCAGGGAAGTGCTTATTCTCCTGAGCCATCTCCCTGGCCCCCAGTGTCTATATTCAAATCTAAGCTGGAACAAAATTAAAATTAATTCAAACCTAAATGAAGGATGGTGAACATAGGATTGTGTGGAAGTTGACTATTAACTTTGGAGAAGATTGCCAAAAAAAAAGCAATTAGCTATAGCCCCAGCATGTTAAATGTTTAGCATGTGGGTGGTTTAGAGCAGTAGTATGCAATGTAGGGACGTTTCAGGGGATACTTGATCTTTTATGTGGATTAATATTTGTTTACTTTATGTATATTGTAACAACAACATTGCAACAATCCATTTGTAATTATAAATAAGCATACATGTATTTGAAAGCACACACAAAAATGATTTTATGATATGGACAATAAAAATGTTTACAAACTACTATTTGGAGTTTAGTGAGATGAAGACAAGGTTATAGATCTGGTCCTCTGTAGGCCAGTTCATTCTAATGAGAAATCATGCAGGTTATACCTCATCTTCCTGTCTTCCTCTTTCTTACAGAGGTTTGGGCAAAGCAAATGTGGGAATTCTGTGTAAATGTACCATCACTGCCACAAAGTGGACCCAAAGTTCTAAATGCTTATTTTCCCCTCCTCTTCCCAGAATGTGATTTAGTAACAGCAACAGCCAGGCATAGTGGCGCGTGCCTGTAATCCCAGGACTTTGAAGGCTGAGGCAGGAGATCACAGTAAGTTCCAGTCTGGGCTACAATGAGTTCAAGGTCGGCCTGAACTACATAGTGAGACCATGTCTCAAATTAAGTAAATAAATAGCAACATCACACACAAGGAGAGAATATTTGAAACAGAATGGGAAGTCAAGTTGTCTACACATAATTAAAAATGAAGCAGTATAGAGAAGGTAATATCTATGAACCATCGAGTGCCAGCACTCAAAGTCTTTTGGTCCGTATCTTGCCCAGTACCACCTTTATTGATGAGGAAACAGACAGAGTAGTACCGTCACATGTAAAGCATCATAAAGGGCAAGGAAGAGGGCCAGGGTCTGCACAAGCAGCCAGCTGCAAAGAAACGTTGGGCATTTCCTTTTAGATCTAGGCAACTGATATTAAGTTGATTTTTAAAAAGTAGGTTATTGGCTGTGCATGGTAAAACAAGAGGGTCTGAGGGAGGAGGATCACAAGTTCAAGGCCAGCCTGAACTATGTAGTGAGTCCCTGACTCAAAAAATTCAAAATAAATAATATCCTTGCTTTACTGAACACACCATAAAGTATATATCCATTTTTCATGAAGTATTTATAGAAGGAAAAGACAATGGATACTTTTGGTGGGTTTTTTTTTTCTTTTTGTTTGTTTGTTTTGGGTTTTTTTTTTAGCATTTTATCAACTTACCTGTAGTCACTTTTGCTATAATGAATTCTTGTAATTAGACTCTAAGGTGATTTTTTAAAACTCATGGCCCATGGCCCCTCCCCAAGACATATCCAATTTGCTAAAATTCCCGATGTATCCCTGAGACTTTTTTTTTTTTCTTTTTCTTCTGAGACAGGATCTCACCATGTAGGTTAGGCTGGCCTAAACTAAACTTATGGTGATCCTCCTCCCTCAGCCTCCCAAGTGCTGAGATTCCTCAATCTAAGTCCTTAATCTAGTAGTAAGTTATCAGAAACCTGTTGAGAAGAGATTTCTTTTAGGGAGCTGGGGAGATGGCTCAGTGGCATAAGCACCTGCCTGGCAAGCCTAAGGTCCTGAGTTCAACTTCTGGTACTGCAAAAAAAAGAAAGAAAGAAAAAGAGAGAGAGAGAGAGAGAGAGAGAGAGAGAGAGAGAGAGAGAAGAAAAGAGAGAGAGAACTTTAGGTTTGGGGAGGTAGCTCAGCAGTCTAAGTGCCTGCCTGGCCTGCCTGGCAAGCGCAAGGACTCGAGTTTGATCCTTGGTACCACATGCTGTGCAAGTACAAGCTGTGTAGCGAGACCTTGTACCAAATACATAAATAATAAAAAGAGATGGGGGGCAGGTCTTTTTGAGATAGGGTCTCATTATGCAATTCAGCCTGGTCTTGAACTCACAGCAATCCTGCCTCAGCCACCCAAGTGCTGGGGTTATAAGTGTGTGCAACCACACCTTGCAAGAACTAGAAAGAAGCTGGGCATGGTGTTACACACCTGTAATCCCAGCATTCCCCAGCACTGAGAGGGAGGCTGAAACAGCAGGATCCTTGGGAGCTCAAGGCCAGCCTGAACTGTGTGGTGAGATTGTCAGAAAGACAAATAAATTAAATAAATGAATAAATAAATAAATAAGATAGAATATTATGGTTTTCCCACGGCCCATAAGAATTTCATCTGTAAAGGAGTAAAGCTTGGGTCATTAGAGGAGTCCACTTGACTGTATCTTCTGCTGTCCCTCCCTTGCTTCTTAAAAGTCTAAAAGTCCGTTTCTGTCCACCACACAAGGTATAAAAGCTGATTGGTTTTGGCCAAATTAGCCAATACAATAGGGTAGAAACTCCCATGGATGATTCCCTCAGAAACAGACTATGGTTTTCCTGAAACTAGTTCTAAGTATAATTTCAACATTTACCTTAGGAAGGAGAATGAAATTGATAGATAATATTTCTAAAGGTTTTCTGAAACTTTCTGACCCTTGATATTAGGAGAGCCTAATACCCTCAAACCTGTTGGGTGTCCATTCCACATTAGAGTTATGCCTGTCTTGCTTGCTTCAAGTTAATTTAGGAAAGGCCAGGCATGTCGGTGCACACTCAGAATGCCAGCACTCAGGAAACTGAGGCAGGAGGATTGCCACAAGCTCAAGGCCAGCCTGGCCTATACAGTGAATTCAAGACTAGCCTGACCTATATGGCAAGATCCTGTCTTAAAATTAAAAAAAATAAAATAAAAAATTAAATAGGAAAAAGAGGTAATTTCCTATTCTGAATAATATCCCCTTCTATACATCTCCTGCTCCTGAATTCTTCTATCACACTGTAGACATGGGGAATTTCCAAGATGTTAATTTGCCATTACTCGTGCTTATTGATTTATATAACTTCACACCAGTATGGTATGTGTGGGCTGCCAAATCACATAAGGACTTTTATTTTTGTTTCTGAAAAATGTTTCAGTGAGTAGGTAACTGTTTCTACTCCATAATCCACCTGTTGTCACAAACTACCAAGAAACAGAAAAACACCTGCCTCAGATGAACCATCTGCCATTTGAACCCCTACCATGCTGGAGAATTAATTAAGCATCTGGCTGCAATATGGTTTGATAAGGGAGGGTGGGAATTTTAAAGACTTTTACCACAATGAAGATCAGGTCAATCCAGGATAGTTAAAATGCCTACCAGAATGAGACCAAATTCCTAGTAGCAATAACAAACATAGCTATGTAATGCAAAGTAGAGGGGGTTAAGATGCTCTCACCTCCTTTCTGAGCCTAGGCAGTAAGCCAGAGAAGAAAGCTTGCTGGAATCGAGTTCCTGTGTCATGCATCTCCTTGCTAGACAGTGCTTGCTCTAGTTTAGGTAAAGAATCTTCTAAGATTTCCAGCTAAGCATATGGTAGTTGTTTTGTTTTTTATCGTTTAAGTGCAGTGCAGAGACGGAGACCAGGCCCGGGCTTTGCACAGGCTAGGGAAGTGCCGACGGCTGAGTACACCCAGAGCCCAGCTGATGGGCCTCCAGGTGTTCTGTGCTCTGAGCCGTCAGTGTGCAAACAGCATGAAGGTGAGGGAGCGTTTCATAGCGGAAGGCCTCACCTCAGCTGGCCAGCAGTGCCCTGCAGGCTTCTGTGGGACTAAAAACCCTGCAGCTGTTGAGATAATAATAGATGCTGCTGGCTGTGAGATAGCTCAGCGGCACAGCACCTGCCTGGCAAGAGCAAGGTCCTGAGTTCAGTTCCCCATACCAAGAAAATAAAAAAGGAATTCTCAATGATAGATGTTCGTTCTTTCAGGAAACTGGGGACAACAACCAATTCTGCTGGCGGAACCTCTTTTCTTGCATCAACCTCCTGAGGGTACTCAATAAGCTGACCAAATGGAAGCATTCCAGGACCATGGTGAGTGGCTCCTGACAGTGGAGGTGTCCATCCGAATTCTGTATCCACTAGGAAATATTTGTGGACTACCTGCTTTGTGAGATCTATATACAGTGCTGTATAAGTTTTAGCATCATCTAATTCTGGGCACTTATTCTAAATACGATGATTCCATACCATTCCACTTCTATTCAGGGAACTGAATGTGGACCCTCCATTAGGGTAGCTCTGGTCTGGTGAAATTAGACATACGTGGGTTACAGTTGCACATCTCGCACAGTACAGGTCTAAGCTTACTCATTACAGCATTGCTTATAATGAGAACCTAGAAGCTACCTAAACACCCATTGATACAAGACCATCTGGTTAAAGAAATATGTTCTTATAACAATATTATATAGCCATGAAAAGTAGTGTTCTGTACTGGTATGGGATAATTTTCAAAATATATTATTAACTAAAAGTAAAACATAGAACAGTGTGATATAATATGTAACTGGCTATTGTTCAGATTAAAAAGTGAATGTTTGCATACATAGAATTATTTCCAGAAGAAGCATAAGGAATTGCTAATAGCAGAAGTGGGATGTATGACAGACAAAAATTCTGTCCTACTTTATCCCACATAAACTGAAAAGAATAAATTTTTTGGGTTTTTTTCTTTGTTTTGTTTTTGCCTTTTTGAGATAGAGTCTCATTAGGTAGCTCAGCCTTGTCTTGAACTAACAGTGTAGCCTGGGCTGACCTTGAACTCGAGAAATCCTCCTGCCTCGGCCTCCTGAGGGCTTGGATTGCAGACATGCTGCACCACACCCAGCCCTAGTCCTTGTTTTTTGTTTTGTTTTGTTTTTTAAACAGGGTCTAAGTTGCATAGGCTGGGCTCAGACTCCCACGCAGTCTTCCTGCTTCAGTCTCCCAAGTTGCTTAGATTATAGGCAGATGTCACCACACCTGGCTTTATATATTTTTAAAGACTAAATCTAAGTAGAGCCTAAATTTTATATTCTTTGTTTTTGTCTTTTTGAGGCAGGGTCTTACTATGCAGTTCAGGCTGGCCTTGAGCTCACTTTGTAGCCCAGGCTGGTCTCAAACTCACAACAGTCCTCCTGCCTCTGCCTCCTGAGTGCTGGGATTACAGGCACACACCCCAATGCTTGGCCTTTTTTGCAATTTCTATCACTACATTTTTGTAGTATACAATGACTATATTCCCCAGTGTGGAGTCCATCCTCTTCCCCTCCTCCTATCCCCAACTCCATCCACCTCCTGGTGGTCCTCCTCTTGCAAAAGATCTACTTCCCTATTTCCTACTATCTTTTATTTTGCTCTTTATTTCTATTTTAAACTTCTCATATAAGCAAAGCCGTGCAATATTGAAATGCATGTATCTGATTTACTTCACTTAACATTATGGCTTCATTTTCCTACAAATGATTCAAATTCTTCCTCACTCCCTTGTGTATAAATACCACATCTTCTTTGTTCATCTGTTGATGGACGCATAGGCTGTTTCTTAGATTTAGCTACTGTGGATTGTACTGCTATAATCGTGGGTGTGCACAATTGTCTTACTTTGTGTGTAAGCTGGAAATTCCAAGACACTACATCTTTAACGGGCTTTTCTTCACCCTCACACTTTGTCACTGGACAGATGCTGGTAGTGTTTAAATCAGCTCCCATCTTAAAGCGGGCCCTCAAAGTCAAACAAGCCATGTTGCAACTTTATGTCTTGAAGTTGCTAAAGATGCAGACCAAGTACCTGGGGCGCCAGTGGAGGAAAAGCAACATGAAAACTATGTCAGCCATTTATCAGAAAGTGCGCCACCGCATGAACGATGACTGGGCTTATGGGAATGGTGAGTGTCACAGAGCCTTGACTTCCAAGAAGGGCCTGGGGGCTAAACAAACATTTATTTCTACTTTTCTATGTGATTTTTTTTAATGTGAATTTTTTAGATTAAAAATATGTGATTATAAACCAGGCATGGTTGGGGCTGGAGAGATGGCTCAGTGGTCTAAAGCACCTACTTGGAACAAGCTTGACAAAGTATAGGGACCGCGGTTCAATCCCCCAGCACCACATGCCAGCCAGCCCTGCCCCCTGGTGGGCTGAGCTGGCCACACACACACAATAAATAAATGTTAAAATAAAAAAATTTAAAAAAAAAGTATGTAAATTATATCTCAATAAAGCTTAAAAAATAAATAAATAAACCAGGCATGGTGGCACACACCTGTAATCCCAGTTAGGCACCTGACGCAGGAGACTGAGCTACAAAATGAACTCAGGACCAGGCTGAACTGCATAGTGAGACCCTGTCTCAAAAAAGAAAAAACAAAGTGATTATAAATTAGATGTTATGGGGCTGGGGAGATGGCTCAGCAGGATAAGCACTTCCCTGGCAAACTCAAGGGCCTGAGTTCAATCTCTGGTTCTGCCAAAAAATAAATAAGTTAGATGTTGTTACATCAAACTTAATGTAATACCCCACATTCTAGCATGTAGTTTTACCTCTGTTCTATGAAACCCACTTTATAAAACAAATCAATTAATAGAATAAAAGATACTGAATATTTTTACTACAAAGAAATGATGGTTAGGGCCGGGGAGATAGCTCAGTAGAATAAACACTT